AAGTGAGGACCTGGCACTGTCATTTGCATATCCTCCTTGCTATAAGGGACATGAGTGGCTCCTGCTAAAGAGCTGAGCTGTCTGCACTTGGGAAGTGGCAGAAGTTGGGGATGCATATCGCAGAGCAGGTTCAGGGATACCAAAGCATAGATCTGATTAACCTGTCACTTCTGACCTGTAATTTTGGGGATTAACCCCAGGTCACCTGCAGCTGAGGGCCTGGTTGAGCCCATGAGCTCTGGGTCTAGTCCTGTATGGGGTGGAGATTCTCTGGGTGCAGAACAGGGAAGGTGCAGGGGGGTGACCTGCCATGCCCTGGGCTGTTTGCAGGCTGATGACCCCTCTAAGATGGGGGTGAAAAAAGCACAGTCCATAGTCAAGGGGTTTGAAGGATGTCAGGGTCACCCCAAGGCTTTGGGAATTCACCTCACTAAGGCCCTGTGACTCACAGCTCCCTGGGATGGGGTATTCCACGTGTGTTTCTGGGGAGGGACTTGGTGTTTCCAGCTGTATCCTAAGCACCCACTGCCTTGCCTGGGAATGGAGGAGATGCACACAACAACTGCTTCCATTGAAAAGAGATGCTCAGCACTGCCTTCTTGGGTCCTTGTGAGGAGAAAACATGCCATCTTGTCAAACTTCTGCCCATGCCCAGGGGGAAGGTCCCATGTCTCTGCCAACTGGAAAAGGCCTGACCAGTGACGTTCAGGTGTGGTTAACAGAGACAGGATTGTGCCTGGGAAGCAGGACAGAGTGATTTAGAAATGGCAACCTGCCCCTGATTTGCACCTTCCATGCCTTCTCCTGTGCTGAGCACCTCCTATCCCACCACTGTTCAACTCTCACTCCAGGCCCTGAGACCCTGATTTTCCTTTTGCTGAAGGGACGTGTCCCCATCCCTGGCAGAGTGGTGCCTCCTGGTGTGGAGGTGTCTGAGGCCAGGGGGAGATTGCTCAGTCCCTGCTGTGGGCTGCAGAGGAACAGAGTCAGGACTGGGCTTGCTGGGTGCAGTCAGTCACAGGGGTGCTGAGAGCCAGAGGGAGACAGTTTAATTATAGAAATCATTATATATATTAAAAAAAAAAAAAAAAAAAAAAGACTGTGTACTTAGGATTTGCCCAGAGGATGAAGGCCTGAGGGGCCCAGCTCCAGGCAATGCCAGCTGTGCCTAATGCCTCCAGGCTGCTTGGAAAGCCAAGTTGTGAGGGGATTCTGGAAGGGTCCTGGCCATGGAGATATGGGTGTGCTAAGGATGCAAAAGCCTCTCCTGCTGCAGTTGGGCCCTGCCCATGGGAGGGATGACCTGGGGCTGCTCTCAGGTGCTGGGCTTGGCTGGGGCTGAGGTTCCAGGCCCTGACAACCTCCCACTGCCTCCTGCTCTTGTTTTTTCTACCTGGTGATAGTTGTGGGCTCTTCCCCCATTGCTTCCTGGGTATGAAGGGGGAGGGTGGGTGGCGGGGCTCTGTGTGGGCATGGATCTATCTCTGCTGTGTAGGTGGATGTTCTAATCCAGGCTTCCCCGTGGAAATGGTCCTTGAAAAGGTTTTCACTTGAGAGTCATAGTTTCATAGTAGCTAGGGTCAGGAGGGATCTGAACAGATCATCTAACCTGAGCCCCTGCCACAGGCAGGAATGAATGCTGGGTTCACAAGACCCCAGACAGGTGATCATCCAACCTCCTCTTGAATTTGCCCAAGGTAGGACCAGTTCCCTGGGAAGTTGGTTCCAGTTTTTGGCGACCTTAACTGTAAAATTTTGCCTTCTGATCTCTAACATAAACCTATTCTCCATCAGCTTATGACCAATTCATCTCAGTAAAAAGATAAGCTTCCAAGATGCCAAATGGATATGGACACCCTAGTTCCATAACAACCTTTAGGATCAATGTGGCAAACATTCCCAAGGTAGGTTTGAAATGCCTGATGACATACAGAAGCAGGAAGGAAGGTCCTGAGTGACTGCTGTGGATTTGGGGGCCTTGGAGGATTGGAGGAGGTGGATGATTTTCTTTTCTCTGGTAGCCGTTAAGATGAGTGCTATGGGAGCCAAAAGGAGTTACGAACCATCACACTGTGCAGGGAAAATTGGAGTGGGAGAGGAGACCCTGGGTACATCCCCTCAATGCTTTTGGAAATGCTTTGCTGAATACAGTTGCAGGAAATATATGTGTCTGCTGGTGCGGTGGGACAGGGCCTGTATGGGGTGGTTAGGGGAGGGCAGGAATGACAGGCGGGTGGGCTGATGCTGCTCCCTAGTGGAGGAATCAGCCTGGCTCAACTTGAGCCTCTCCAGGGCTGGGCCAAGGAGACGGGAACATCCCTGGTTCTGTCTGTCCCTGCCCATATAGGTCCTTGTCCCAGGTGCAGCCAGAAGCTGGCAGGGCACTGAGTCTCTCTGGACATGCCTGCCTCTCTGCCCAGGCTGTGCTGAGCTGGAGGGTGCCACTTTTCACTGCAGAGCAGTAAGGCATTTGGGGGTGGGGGGGGGCTCCGGGTGTTGGAGAGCTCAGCTGCAAGGACCTAGCCCCTGGAAGCATCTGCAGACGGGGGTCCTACAAAACCAAGGGGACAACTTCTACTCCTCTTTGCAGAAACAAACACCTTGTCCATGCTCTGATGGAGGCCAAACTGCTGGGAGAGAAGCAGGCTGGAAAGGGTTATAGAGGGCCCTAATTATTTCTCACTTGCATTCATTACTTGCTCATCAGCTCCAGGTGCTCCATCATTCATGCCAGGCAGCCTCTGGGTTGCAGCACGGAGGCTTTTTCAGCTTTGGGCTGACTCCTTACCTGCATCTTGAAGAAGTGGTAGGAGGAGCAGTTTGGAGAGAAAGGTGCCCAGTTCAGAGGTGAGAGGTATCTCCTTTCCATGCCCTGGGCTCCAAATTGGGGCCGTGGAGCTAAAAAATTGGAGTGAAAGCTCCCCTGGGAGCTTGACACCCCCAGGCCTGAGGCTGAGGCTTTCCTCCTTGTGCCCCTGTCTTGACCCTGGGGCATTTGTTCCCCTGGATGCAGCTGGCAGCTGCCTTGGTGTGTCTGGATCATGTCTGGTGCTGTGGCTGTCAGTGCAGTGCAGTGCCCTGGGATTTGTGTGCAGGGGCTATCCCGACTGCAGGTTGTGGGTTCTGGAGAGTGGGTGTGACTGGAGCAGTGTTGTAGAGAGACTGCGATGAAAGGTGGCAGCTCATGTATCTGTGCTGGAAGTCAGTAGGTGAGTGCAGGGCTTTAGTGCAGAGGATGCTGACATCCTAATGGAGAAATGACCATGATTTTAGCTAATAGAGGCTGCCCCTACACCCCCTTGCCATCCAGTGCAGGAAGCACTCACCGAAGGATGGGAGTGGGAGCCAGGGTGGGGGAATGACCATGTCTTTAGCTAATAGAGCCTGCCTCTACACCCCCTGCCCTCCACTGCAATAACCACTCACCCGAGGATGGGAGTGGGAGTGGGGGAGCTGCCAGCAGGGAAAGCAAAACCGGCACCCATGTCATGGTCATTGTGGTTGATGCCTCGTGTCCCCAGCAGGCAGGAGGGGGCAGGTCTGGGGAGATGCTGAGGCTCAGAGAGCCTGGGTGCTGTTTAGAAAGGAAAGTAAAGCAGGAAAAGGGGTCCACCATTTACCTGTGCTTGTTTTATAAGGGTGCTTTTGCAGGTCTCACTGGACACAACATCAATCTTTTTATTGATAACAGAAATCTGGGGAAGCTGATAAAGCCCTAGAGGTGGTTTGGAAGAGCCCCTTCCCTGGTGCGGTCTTGTGACTGTCTGGGTGTGAGCCCCAGAGCCCTGGGGTGCCTGGTTTTATTCCAAAGGGTCCTGCTCTGGAGTAGAAGTGATGGCTTGTTTCACAGGAGCTGAGGGGGGAATACAGAAGTCAACTGGATTTGTGATGGGGCTGGTTGTGCAGAGAGGAGAATCCCACGGCGTGAGGGGTAAATGCAGCACGATGGCAGGGGGCTGCTGGCTGAAGCAGCACAGACGTTTAGGGTCCTTGTTGGCCTTGTCCCATAAATTCGCTGAGCTTTGCTGTTGTCATGAGTCTCCCCGTGGGGACTCTTCCCATGGGCTCCCTATGAGTCTCCCCATGGGGCAGGATTGTGTGCGCATGGTTCAGTAACCGCCCCCCCGAGACCACTCAGGGATTTTTGCTTCAGCCCCTGGGATCCCAGGAAATCTCCCCTGGCAGCTGCCGGCCCTGGCCCAGGTCTTTTCCTTGGGCGTAGGTATTGCACCTGTGCCAGCGCTGGCTCAGGGGCAGGGTGGGGGATGGGGCAGGAGGAGGGAGGTGTGGGGTCTGGAAATGCCTGGGCTCCACTGTGGGAGGAAGTTGAAGTATTTATTCAGAAGCCCTTGGGCAAGGATTTGCCACGTAGGACTCTCCTCGTCTCCCCTTGTGCCAGAGGCTGCATGATGTGATTCAGGCCTTGGCCAGAAAGGCTGCTCTCTCCCAGTCTGTCTCCCTCCCTCCCCATGCTGGTTGCGAGACACAGGACTGCTGGGTAGCAGCACTTACACCTGGGCAGTGCCAGCTCTGGGAGGTGCAGCTCCCTGCCCCGTGCGATGCAGGATGGGTTTACAGGGTGGAGGGGGTGAGGGCCTGCCTGGAGCCGACAGCTGCCTTGTGGGGTCTGGGCTGGAAGCTGGTGCTGTGCATGTCAGTGCAGTCGTCTGTGGGAAGTGAGAACTGCCTCAGCCCTGGTCCCCACTGGCTTCATGGGAAGGCTGGTGCCTGGAGGAGCGTTGATGTCTGGCTGGTAGCTGGGCTTTAAATGGAGCTGGCCAGGATCGGTGCCAGCTCCTTAGATTTCCATGGATTTTAGGCAGCTGAGCTGTGAAGATGCTTTTTGGAAATGATTTGTGCACCTGTCATCTCCCACCTCTTCCCACCTGCGTCTGTGAAGAGCTGGGTGTGGAAGGTATTTATCTCTCCCGATTCCCCTGAAATAACTCTGCCTCCTCTCCAGACAGTATATCCATCAGGATCTAATTGCAAGTCTGCTCTCAAAAGACCTGGGGCATGTGGGTGAGAAAAGCTTCGCCTTTTTGTGCAGCCCCTGCTCTGCTCTGTGTCACTGTGTCCCTGGCACAGAAATACGTGGCGGTGTCTGCCGCTGCCAGGTAGCGCAGCTGCAGGGAGACCTGGTCCTTGGATGTGTCTGCAGAGATGGTGGTTCGGCTCTGGAGAGAGGGGTTGAACAATGTGCCCCCACTGTAAGGATAGATGTATGCTACCCACTCCAGCCCTTTCCCAGGAGGCTGCCGGATCCAGTTCCAACCATAGCTTGAATCATAAATGGAGGCACCAGAGACAGCACAGGTCAGGGTCAGGGTTCCTCCAGGCTTCACCACCCCTGGGCCAGACTCCACCAGTGTCACTGCCGAGGTGGCACCTGGAAAAAAAATAAGGCAGGGAGTGAGTTATCTACTGAACACATCCATTTCCCTGCTGTGTTTCATGCCCCCTGCCCCTGGCACACTCACAGGTGAAAGAGCAGAACAGGGCAAGAAGTAGCTGGGGCATCTCCATCCTGTGCCTGAGAAGAAATTAATCTCCAAGCAGGCAGGAGCGGGCAGTGTATGTGCTGGGCACAGACCTGTATTTAAGCAGGCAGTTGGGAGGAGACATTTGCATGTGGGTCCCCTGGAGGGTACAAGAGGAGCCAGGCTGGGAGTGCAATATCCCCTGTGGGTCCAGTGTCCACTTCATGTGAACGGCAGGCTGATGCTGCGCTCACTGAGCCCCCCCAGAAGCATGGCACTTCTCTGCTGGAGAAGGAGAGTCGCAAGGAGAAGTGAGATGCAGCGGATCCCTGAGATCCGCTCCCTTCAGGCAATGATGATTTCCCAGGGGCTCTGTCTCTAGGCTGGGGTCTACCATGAACTGGGGTACCATATCTCTCCCCCTGTGCTCTTCCATGCCCAAGTGGCTGCTTCACACACTGGCTCTGCATCCTCTGGATAAAGCGTGCCCAGGGAACCTGCTGAGCAGTAACTCTGTTCAGTTATGTCCTGACTCCCATGGCCTGGCCTGAGTAGGCAGGAACTGTGGGTTCGGGGCCACGTAGGGCTCATCTTTGGCAGGAGATGCAGGGGCAGGAGGGGCAACATAGCTTACGTGGAAGACAGAGATCTGAACATGTATAGAGAAGGGTTATCAGCTTGGGAATCACGAGGGCTCTGGGGAAAAGAGAGAAATTGTGGCCATCTGACAGTGGTTTTCATAGCCATGACTATGGCCCACAGCACCTTGCTGCCACACTGACAGGGAATAGATGCCCTGGGAAGAGCTACAGGTTCAGGTATGAACAGGCTGGTTGGGCACAAGAGAAGCAGAAACAGCTCAAAGGAAGGGGCAGAGCCCCGAGTGTGTAGAGTACGTGCCTTGTTGAGCTCTGTGGTCAAAGGGACTGGGATTCAGTCATACACGGTGTCATACCGATGCCTGCAGTGTGTGTCCTCCTCCCACAACATGAGGTCCCAGGACCTTGTAGTTAAAACTAGGGAGCTATTGGGCAGGGCTCTTATTTCAGAGGTACAGGTGTAGGGCACTTTGCCATGTTTCATACATGTTGAGGGGAAGGGAATGGGGGTCACATGCATGTTGCCCACTAGACTGTCCTGGTTGTGTGGTGGGCCAGTAGGGGGAGCTCCTGCATTGACCGTCCCACCTCACTACACCCGTCCACCTCCCGGACTCCACGTGTCTGTCCAGGGGCGCCTAAGCCCTGGCAGACCCCGCTTCAGAGTCCCTCCGCAGAGTCCGGGGTGATGTATGCTTCCACCACCCCAAGAAGGGACTGTCTAGGGCCTGTGTCTTTGGGGAAACACAGGCCTAACTGTCCTATGGGTACTCGACCCAGTACAAGAACTTGGGGCACTTTCCGAAGTCGGGAGCCAAAAAGGATAGTCTCCCTTAGTCTGCAGACCCAAGGGGCCTCCTGGGCATAATTATATATTATATAATCCCGTAGAGCAAACTCCTGTGGCTGGGGTAGCCTTTGATCTCACATCTGAGTTACCGCAAGCTATATATCTAGTTGGATCTCAGTTATCTTACTCACAAGTATCATCCAGAGGTTGTTGGAGATTCCCTCTGGAAGCAGGCAGTTCCTTGATCATGAGTTTTGAGAGAGAGAGCCAGTTTCAGATGGTCCAGCTCTTCTTTGTTCCTGAGCATCCCTCATGGCTGCTGCCCCCTCCTCCTGGCAGTCCTTAACTTATATAGCCCTTGTGACCTCATTCACCTGGTCCAATGGAGGCCAGCACCTGTTGGCTGTGAGCCAACCAATTTGAAATACATCACTAGTTGCCGGGCAGACTCTAACCCACCAGGAAGGAAGCCCCTCACCCAGGTATGTGATGCCAGTCATATAGGCAGAGGGAGCAGGTTTCCACCCCCCCAGGAATGTATCCAGCTCAGATTCCCCAAAGAGACGGGGTAAAGATGTGTCTCTCCTGGGCCCTTCCTTATCCAATTGTCACAGAGCAGAGACTTTTGTTTCTGGCACGGTAATACATGGCGGTGTCTGCAGCTGTCAGGGAGCTGAGCCGCCGGTAGTACTTGGTGCTGGAGGAGTCCATGGAGATGGTGATTCTGTTCTGCAAATTTGTGTGGTAGTATGTGCTATCAGTCCACATCCCCATCCACTCCAGCCCTTTGTCAGGAGCCTGCCAGACCCAGTTCCACCAGGAACTGCTAGTAACTGAGCCACCAGTGACGGTGCAGGTCAGGCTGAGGGTTTCCCCAGGCTTCACCACCCCTGGGCCAGACTCGTGGAGCTGAAACTGGGACTGGACACCTGGAAGAGACAGGGATCAGGTACAGTCAACCCTGCCAAACTCCCCAGTTTCTGCCACTTCCTGCAGCCTCCCCCGGCACTCGCATGGGATCAGGGCCAGGAGGAGCAGTGGGCAGAGAAGGGCAGTCATGGTGCTGCAGAAGGGGAAGCCCAGAGCTGGGAGGGAAGCTCAGCTCCTAGGGGCAGTGGCCATGAATGCCCCGGGCCAGCTACTTGAGCAGGGAGTTGGGCTGGGATTTGCACAGAGGGGATATGCCAGGGCCTAGCCTGGGACAGATGGGAAGAATGTGTGCATGTGTGTGGGTGCATGCACTACTGTATGTGTGGTTACACTTCCTTCTCCTCCTCCTCCTTCACCTGACATGAAGCATATGCACCTGTGTGCACCTATGTTTGGGCAGGGCACCTGGCTATGCACCCCTATTCTCCTGATCCCTGGAGGGCTCACCCTGGCTTAGGCTGTGGTTTCCTTCAGCCCAGCGCGCACACAGTGACCATGTCCTCTCCTGTACCCGGGCTCAGAGATGGGCTCCCACTCCCAGCTGGGAATTTTGCTTGTGCTGGTGCTGACAGGTTCCTTCAGTATCACTCCCCTGGGGCTGTGCTGGGCAGGGCTGAGCTGAGCTGTGGGGACTACTTTCTGGGGAGATGTGGGGGAGCAGCTGGTATGGAGAAGCCTTCCCCTCCCAAGCCAGGCTGGGGTAGGAAAGGGACAGGCCAGAGGGAAGGAAGTGTTAATGAGAAACCTGATCACCAGCAGGCTGCAGGGAGGCTGTGCACCGCTCCTGGCAGGCTCCTGCCCTGCAGCTGAGAAGAGGTGTCTCCACTCCCTGCCATGGGGTCCAGGTTGGGACCCCAGAGCTACATCCCTGGAGTGAAACCTCTTGTGGGAGCCAGAAACCCCTGCCCTGAGGCTGGGGTACTCTGTGTGTGCCCTCTGTGTGGCCCACAGAGAAGGTTTGTTCTTCTCCCAGGGCAGTGAGAGCCCCTAGGAGCTGAGACCTACCAGGCTCCAGGCTGGGCGAGGGGAGGGGTGCTGTCTGTCTGCAGACTCCTGGGAGCTGTACCCAGGGGAACATCCCCTCCCAGCCCTTTCCCAGGGTGGTTGGTGTGGCGGGGCCTGAGCTCAGGAAACTCCCCCGGAGCTGGAGGGGAAGGCAGGGCTGTGTGCGTCCAGACTTGGGCTGGGCTTAGCTCCTAACCTTGGTAGCTGCTGAGCAGGGAGATGATGCAACGAAGGAGTCTGGGACAGGGCTTAGATATCAGGTCAGAATTGGCATCTTCTTTTTGTCCAGGCCCTGCTGAGGAACTAGCTGTGAGCTCTGGCCCAGTCTGCTATGGAGCACTTCATGTGGCAGAGTAGCTCCTCATGTCCTGGTGAAATCCCTGGGGACCTCTCTCATCTATTGGGACTGGTCTGAGGTCCGACAGTCCCTGTCTTCCCGCTGGTGTCCTTGGCACTTGTTTCTGCACAGAGACCTTCTTTAGGGTTGGGGGTGAAGCCCATGAAGCGTGAGCTAAGTAGCAGGTAAAACCCCGGGTTGTGTTTAACCACACGTGGAGCAGAAAAGAGGGGAGGGAGTGGGGGAGACCGCAGGCTAGGAGCGGCAGGGATTTGGGATGTGCTGAGCTGCTCCCTGGGGGATCTCTGCATATTCCCAGCCCCAGTCACAGCCCCTGATGTGCCCTGAGCCCATGGGGAAGTGATTGGAGGGGTGAGGCTCTCTGGGCCAGGGCTGTCCCTGCAAGTGCCCAGGTGGGTGTCAGGGCTCCAGACTGGGAGCACTCGCAGCAGAAAGGTTTCCCTACTTGGCCTGGCCACAGTTGACATGACTTCCCCGCACCATAGCCGGGGGCTGCGGGTTCAATCTAAGGTCATGGGCCTTGGTTTTGGCCTGGGTCTAAAGATGCCCTCTGGCCAGGGCATGACATGAGTGTCCCTGTCGGGCTGAACTCCAAGGGAGACCCTGCTAGGGCATCTCTGTGGTCACTGGGCAGTCCCCGTTCCCCAGAGTGATTGTTACCCTGGGCTCTGGGGTCCCTGTAACCTCCCCTGGCAGCTGCCTGCTCCAGCCCAGTCCTCTGTGCCCAGTGCAGAGCGCAGACTGGGGGATGGGAGAGGAGAGGGCCGGTAGTTTAGCTGGGAACCCTCTGGGCACTGCTGGGAGGGTGGTGGGGGGTATCAGGGATTTCCCTGTGGGAGGGAGGCTGCTGGTTGGGAGTGAGGGGCACTGGCAGAAGCTCAGGACAGCTGTGGGTCAGGCATGAGGGGCTGGATAGGGGCTGGGAGTTGGGAATGGGAGGCACCAGCAGGGAGCCTTGAAGGGCTGTGGGTGGGATGATGGACTCCAGTGGGGGTCCTCAGAGTGGCTGCAGGTGGGGAGTGAAGGGTACCTGTGGCCAAGTGGAGGGGGTTGCTTTCTTTTAATCTCCATGCTTGTTCCAAGCAGAGCGGTGTGTGCATTTCCCTGTTTGCACGCACAGTGCATCCAGATTCGTGTTCGTACAAGAGGTCCTTTGTTCTTTACATAAATGGACCCAGGAATGTTGTGCCCAGGGGTTAACAAGCTCACACCAGCCTCTACCGTTGCCCTTCGGTGTTCAAGCTTATTTGGGCAGATGTGATAATTTTTCTGACTTATTCGACTATCTAGATTGTTGCGAAAGCAGTTCTTTGCAAGTTTTCGACACAAACACCCCTTTTCAGGCATAGAGAAAGTCTGCTGGTGAATTGTGTGCTCCCATGGATAGAATAGAAGTCAATA